TTCTTCACGGTAGTGATGAGATACCTCCCTCGAATGCTCGCGTCGAGTTTGCTTCTCGTTGACGATCCAAACGTCTTGTTTCACTGGAACGTGATCTTCTCCTCACGATTTGACATTGTTGAGGACCTGCATGGTAAGTTTGAAACTCTGAACGAGTTGATAACTCAGAGTGAGTTTAAACTCTTGTAAAAGAGTTGATTGATCTAAGTTTGAAACTCTGAACGAGTTGATAACTCAGAGTGAGTTTAAACTCTTGTAAAAGAGTTGATTGATCTTAACCGTAATTGGTTAGCTCAGAGTGAGTTTAAACTCTTGTAAAAGAGTTGATTGATCTTAACCGTAATTGGTTAGACAAGCCAAGCTCGAAGATAGCCCTAAGAATCTATTGCCAAGAAGATGATCCGAAGAAACTGATCTCTAGATCTTTAAAATTCTCAAAGATCCAAAGATACCCCCCCTCAAAACTCTAGCCTCAGGATCTCTTCTTTGCTGCCGAGGAGAAGGATCCGAACTAAGCTAATTTCTTAGTTATTTATAGGGGATTAAGGGGTATAACCGCCTCCTTAATTCGCTCCTAAGTGGGGTTTATGGGATGTAACCGCCCCTTAAATCACTTCTGAGCGGAGTTATGATCCTCTCAGATCGTGGGAAACGGTTTTGAAATCGTTCAGCTCGTGTTTGAACGAGTCAAACGCAAAATCCGCATACTGGCATGAATTCTGCGTTCAAACGCAGTGTCTGGAAGCTTGAACGCAGTGTCTGAAAGCTTGAACGCAATGTCTGGAAGCTCAGACGCAGCGTCTAGAAGCTCATTTGTAGCAATTGGAAGCTGTGTTTGCAGCGATTTGGAAGTTGTGTTGGCAGCTTTCGGAGGCTGCGTTTGCGGTCGAATATGAGCTGCGTTGGTAGCTGGATCTGAGCTGCGTTTGTAGCTTTTGGAGCTGAATGTGAGTTGCGTTTGCACTGCGTCAGCGGCTGTGAAGGCGATGCGTCTTGATGCTGGTATGCTGGGAGGACTTCCGCATCTTGATTTGAAGAGACCGTCGATTTGTAGTCTCTTTCTGTCAAAGCGTTGCAAAGATCGTCATTTTGTAATATTTGCTTTAGCTCTTTGATATGTGAGAGTCGTCAGATTGTAACTCCCGATGTTTATTGTGAAGGTTGTTGATTAGAGTTTTTATCAGTTGTTGTGAAGATCATCAGATTGTAACCTTCATCGATCTACATAAAATTCTTTAAATTGTAGCATTCTGGAAGCCGTCAAATTGTAAAGTCCATCATCGGTGTTTGATGGGGATCAACTATCTGCAGTGATTTTTAGACAGCCTACAGAACCCCCTCCAAAGTTTTCGAAAGTTCGCGCCATCCTACTTGAAGAGGATAATTGTTAACGTGATAGTTTTGGTGGACCCGCCATCCTACTTGAAGAGGATTGGTGGGGGAATTTGGAGAAAATGGACTATCAGAGGTAACTATTAACGTGATAGTTTTGGTGGACCCACCATCCTACTTGAAGATGATTGACTAATTGATAGACTATCAGAGATAACTGTTAACTTGATAGTTTTGGCGGATTTGGTGATTGACAGAGGTGTTCTATTGAACATGACAACTTAAAAAATTTATTACTCATAATCGAATGAACTACAAATAAACCAACCCCCCAGTCTTGAACAAGTGTAGGGGGGAAAAAGGGTAGACTTGGCACATTACTTACTGGGTCATTATCTAACGAGTTTGACTATCAGAGGTAATTGTTAACGTGATAGTTTTGGTGGACCCGCCATTCTACTAAAGAGGATTAGCTTCAGTGGTCGTAGTATCTTCCCCTTCTGACTGATAAGATTGGGCTTGGTCCAATTGCTCAGGTGGATCCTGCCTACTTTGTTCTTCAGCTTTGATACTGGCAATAATCTTTTGAGCCTGTTCGCCTTGAGAGATTAGTTATCTCTAGGAACGGCATTCTGCAACCCTCATTTGTGCTAGAAGGTCGGTCTGCAAGTTATGTCGATAGGTCTCCACTAAGGTAGACTGTGTCATACCTGTCGGACATCGCAGAGCCATGTTTCGAAACCTTTTGACGAAGGTTTTGACGGACTCCCTCTTTTTCTGCTTAGTAGCGAGAAGGGTATGTATGGAGACTTCTGTATCCTCTTCAAAAAATCTTGATAGGAAGAGTCTCTCTAGATTTGCCCATTTTTGGATACATCCGGCATGCAGTTTTCTAAACCATTCAAAGGTAACTCCCTTGAGGGTGCCAATAAACAATCGAGCCAGTATGACATCGTTTGATATCACATTCCCAGTCTGTGACTTGATATGATAGATATGTTGATTCGATGATCCCGTGGATGTTAAAAGTGCTTTCTTGAATGGTTTTATAGAAGAGGAAGTATATGTTGAGCAACCCCCCGGTTTCATAGATCATGTCTTTCCTAATCATGTTTACCGGGTTCAAAAAGCTTTATATGGGTTGAAACAAGCTCCTAGAGCTTGGTATGCTCGCCTCTCTAGTTTTCTTGTTCAAAATATTGATAACACTCTTTTTATGAGAAAAAGGAAAAATGATTTTATTTTAGTTCAAATATATGTTGATGATATCATTTTCGGTGCTACTAATGAATCTTTGTGCAAGGAATTTTTTAAGGTTATGCAAGATCACTTTGAGATGAGTATGATGGGAGAGCTTACATTCTTTCTCGGGCTTCAAGTAAAGCAAACAAAGGATGGGATATTTATCTCTCAAAGCAAGTATGCTAAGGAATTGGTAAAGAAATTCAATTTGGAGAACTCTAAGCATGCGTCTACTCCCATGAGTACAAGTGTTAAGCTAGATGCGGATGAAAGTGGTGAAGACGTGGACCAAAAACTATACCGAGGTATGATAGGTAGTCTTCTTTATCTCACCGCTAGTAGACCCGATATCATGTTTAGTGTGTGTGCATGTGCACGTTTTCAAGCATCTCCTAAAGCATCTCATTTAATTGCGGTTAAAAGGATCATTAAGTATGTTAATGGAACTTTTAATCTTGGTTTATTTTATCCAAAGAGCACCTCTTTTGACTTATATGATTTTTGTGATGCCGACTTTGCCGGATGTAAGGTAAAGCATATTGATGTGCGCCATCATTTCTTACGCGATCATGTTGAGAGACAAGATGTATCCCTAGTATTTGTTGACACAAAATCTCAATTAGCGGATATATTTACTAAGCCTCTTGAAGAGGATGATTTTTGTCACATAAGAAATGGTTTGGGCTTATGCACTATGTGACAGTTCTACATTGCTTGCTTGTTTAGTTGCATGTTGCATTTCTCTTTACCCTATTTTTGATAATGACAAAGGGGGAGAGAAATCTCCTCATTTGTTGCATATACTTAGGGGGAGCTCATAGATAGGGGGAGCACCTATCTATAAGCTATCTTTATTTTTTTGCTATCTTTATTTTTTTGCTCTTATATAATGGTTGGTTGTCATCATCAAAAAGGGGGAGATTGTTAGCCCTTATGTTTTGATGATGTTTTACAACCACCATTATCGGTACTAATGGCTTATTAAGTACAAATATAGTGAATTCATATATCAAGCGAGGATTGGATGGAATATGCGCTACAATGATGATATCCAAAGGAGGAGGAGGCATAGTGATGAAGCAACGTTATTTCAAGAACAACAAATTCAAATAGAAGCTTCATCAAATTCAAGCTAGATCAAGACTCAAGCATTGCATTCTATATGAGGATACTAGCTATCTTTTATTTTTCTCTCTAGTGCTAGAATGTAGGCAAAGAGTTATTGACCTCACTTGAAGCTATTGGGATATCACACACACGTTTTCATACTTATGTTTTTAAGCGTTTTTCACAAAATACTATTTTTCACAAGTATGAGGACCTATATATATATACACTTTTTCATAATTAAGTAAGAAAGAAAGAAAAGAAAAATAATTGTCATATATTCAACTACATGGAATCTTAGGATGTGTATCATGATTATTCTTCCTATGACAACCTATATGCGTTTGCTTGTTCAAACTTTTAGATACTGGAAATTTGGCAAATTAGTCATGGACTTATCCTACAGCATTTTCCTGGGTTTTTGGCACG